TTGTTTAACGTTCCTCTCGAGAATTTTTCACTCATATGGAGATTGACGCCACTACTTGCCGGTGGAGAGCTGAAATTCTGTCCTATACTCGTCACTCAGGGCAATTCAGTAATACTGGATCTTTTTTGTGCCAGCACCTACTCTGATATTGGGGCTCGATTTATACGGATTCATCCGAAGGACCGGTTTTCATTTCCCACAGTACTAGTGGGACTACTTTACTGCGCCACGCGGGTGACCTCATTGTGAATGTCAACATTACAGACGCCGATATTTAACTCCTTTATTAGTAAATGGTAAGGAGTATTTATTGGTTTAATAACGCTTTTCATTTTAAATTAGTTGTTACGCTGTTGAATCATAAAAGGATGTTTTATTGTACATTTACAAGTTATATTTCTTGGAGACGAGGAACTAGAGCATCAAAAATGTTTTAAAATTCCTGATCTTTTTTTTAAAGGTTTTTAACTTTTTGAATTCTGTCTTCTCAACGTGGTTATACGGATCTTGTCAAATGTTGGTAAACCGAGGTCCAGGTCAAGCTATGGTCCATAGAGACATCCAGTTAAATCAAAATATGTTTGCAATTTCTGGTAATATCGTGACGTAGTTAGAACATGCACATTTTGATCAAAACCAATAAAAGAATTAATACAGAAGAAACTTACAACGGGCTTTTTTCTTCTAACTATTTGACCTACACTGTTCTTTTCCCGCCATCAACACTTTATGTAGCTTATAAACCTTTTATGGAGAGTAATAATACAAAGGGCCGTAACTCTTTTTCAAATAGTAGATTGCACAATCGTTTCGGTCATGACGAAATATTAAGTGACACAAAAGTATGCAACAAAATTTTAGTGGTATGATCGATATAGCTAATGAATAAAAAACGAAACATATTTATCAGAAATTTCAGAGTAAATAAGAAAAATAAAACTGAAATACAAAAACTAGACGCTTCAAAAAAACTACAAAAAGTGGTAGGTCTGTTGTAGTAAGGAAGTGTTTCACGCCCCTGTAAGCCACTAAATAATCTATAAAATGTATTGGCCGCGCTAGATTACTCGTTAGCGTTGTGCAGGAGCAATGAATTCCTTACATACCACCGTCATTCGAATCACTGGATGTGTTTATGATAGAGAAAAGATGAGGTGCTGAAACAGTACCTGTACGGAGTGTTCTGCCGGACGACTCCAGTGAGAATAGGACAAGACAGTCCTTTTACACTTTATTGAACAATAGAAAATCAATGAATCGACAAGTTTACTATTGGATTCACACAACGCCTATTAGCCAATCAGAGTAGACTTTACAAAGGAATGTGAATACACAATACAGGAGGTGACAAATATTGTTTACAAATGGAGAACTGGGTAACATGTGTTTGGCTTGGCGTTGTGTTTAAGTTAAATATGATTTAATAGACCAAAATAATTAAGTGTAAACCAATAATTATCAAGTATAAAGATGTAAAGATAATTGAGGTAAGTAATTTGGCTGAACAAAAACCAGTTTTCCTACATCCCTCCTTGGGAAACAAATGTGTAAGCATTTGTGTATAGTAATACAATAATCAAAGGAAAACTGCAAAAATATAATACAAGATACAATGATCAAAAAATACTAAGGTCAAATATATAGTGGTCATAAAAAATATGCATCAAAAATGACATGAATCACTCAGGTATTTCTGTACAATAACAACAACAAACAGATGAGTGAATGTCATCATTATAAATATATGTAAATAATAACAAAATAACCCACAGGTATATATATCATCGTCTCTTCAACTTAATAATGTTCTAATATTCAATGCATTTCCTTGTTTTTGGAGGTTCTACTGGTGCGTCTTTAAACCATCGTGGGATTTTATGGTACGAAACAATGATAGATGTTGTAGATTCTAAAAAGTATAATTTTTCATCTCTGGAGTTGTTAATTCCCGGGTCGAGATTTTCTGATAGAATTCCTGTAGTTTATAATAATCTTTCGACTTCACGTTTACGTTTTTGTTGTTCTAGGAGATAAAGGAAGTGATGGAAGTTTGCAGGTGAGTTTTGGAGGGACAGTGAATTCATATCTATGTATTCTTTATTTGGGACCGAAATGGTGATGAATTCAATTGGTGTAGCTGTAGGATGTTTTCGTTCATGTTGTTTCTTATGTTTTGGCTGAATAAGTTGGTGACATGTGGAGCATTTAAGGAGTTTTTAAACGGATACATGTGTCCTTGTCCAGTGGGTCATGAAACCTCTAAAGGTAGCAAATGTTATACTCATATTACATTTTGACACAGGACAGCTCATTCGCTCTGGATTCTACTCCGGCCTGATGTCCTGATTTAATGTGTGAATCTCCTCCATTGGGACTTCCAGTTCAAGAACATCCATCCTTAAAAACTTAAAAATAAAGATAATCACATTCCATTAATTAAAAATAACACATTAATCATACAACCTATGTAACATGTATTTGGAATTTATTCAAATCCATTATACATGTATCCAGGTGATGATTAAAATTAAGGTAGAACGATCATGAACTTTAATTAAATGAACTTTTATTTGTAAGGTCATAAAAAAATAAGAATGGAGATTTTTCATCTCCAGTATAACTATAAAAGTCATAATATAATATATATATCCATCAATTGCTATCTTTAATTTTTATTTACTTAGTGAAGCTTTTCATTTATGTTCACTTATTAATAAAAACAACTGACAATCCTATTTCAAACTAAGTTGGACTAAAAATTTGTTTTGGCTTTATCAATATCCCTGCCCTACTTTTGAACTCAGTTTGTTGTGGTGTAAGACATGGAGAAATTTCAGGTTGGCCAAAATAGGGGTCATTATTTACAGGGTCAATTGGTTCTGAGGTTGGAATAGAAACTTCCGCACTACACCCATTCTCAATATAAGGGCGCAAACAATGTCGCCTCGTTTTCATTTAGAAGAAATACCACTGATGTAATTTTTAAATCAACATTATAAATGGTCATATAACAATGAATAAGAATTCATATAATTATCGATCTGAAAGGGTATTTAAGGAGTTCCAAATTCAAATATAGTAGCCTATTTGAAATGTACGTTACTGTCGCCGAGGCAAATATTATGCTGAATCCCCTCTGTGTAATATATAGTTTTGATTCTCAAGCAAAAATTTTCTGATAAGTTAAACCTTGTATCATATATACTTCTTTTCATAACAATAAATACATTTTCTTTGTGATAATAAATAATTTTTATTGTGCAATGTCCCTGTCGCTTAATTCTATTTCAACCACATTACAAGCAAACACAAAGATTATACAGCTGATAGTCTTGTTCTTTTTTATTTATTGATGGACTAAATTTGAAATTTCAAAGGATTAATTACTCCTACATTGATAATGTAACATGAAATTGAACAATTTGAGCAACTTTTATAAATATGTTTACGGAATGAAAGACATTTTTAATCGTAGAGATAAGAAAGAAATGTACGTTACCTATATTCTTCCATTAAGAATATATATTAAGTAGAAAATATGAGACGACTCTGAATAAGCAACCCCTTGTATCCTGTAAACTGGCAAAGACGTTTTGCTTAACACAATTAAAAATTATTTTTTACATGAAAAGTGATCATTTGAAATGTACGTGACTGAAATGTACGTTACCATGAAATTCGAATTAAGTGAATCTCGCACGAATTTTCATGTATTCTCATACTTTCACACACTCGAATGTGTACACAAAGTAAAGTTTCAAAGGTTGAAGGTCGGCTAAATCCCAAAATTAATGAAAAGAAACGTTTCTGCGGAGGAAAAAAAATATATTAAGGTCAATTATATGTAATATAATTTTGATACCTGGTATATATTTCTGAATACGAAACCTGTATGATGCATTTCTTATGATATGCAAGTTCAAATAGTATCAATATATTGCGTGTCTAACGTACGCTTGTGGAAGAGAATTGATTTTTATATTTGAAATGTACGTTACAAATTGAAACGTACATTTTGCGCATTTCTAACTGACATTTTTTTATTATTTAGTCAATTAATTGCGTTTACACGAGCGAAACAAAATTATCGTTACAATCCATTTGACAAATGACCACATAAATCCATCTAAATGCACCCCAATCCTCGTAAATGTTTTAGACTGTTACCACATGCTAGAAAATTTATTTCTATGTGTCTTAAATTCATCTTTAGCAACCTTTTTGCAGTTTGTTTACCTTTAATATGCGACTTTTCAATATAAATTTAATTGTTGTTGGTAATTTAAAACAAGGTAGTCATAGGCTTATAATTGGTAAAAAAAAAACCCCAAAACGAAACAAAAAGAAAAAGGAAAAAGAAACAAAACAAATGAATCCAGAACACAAGACGGTCACGTACATTTCAAATACTGAAAGGCACACAATACTCAGTTTTGTTTGAATCATTGCATTTTAGGTTATATTTTTCCAGATCTGCTGAAAATTACGTATGTTTGTGTTTTGACAAACGATGTTGCAACATACTATTAAAATGAAAGTGTTAACAAGACTGTCGATGGATATATTCGGAATAGATTTATGTTAAGTTTCAATGGCCAAACACAAACATTTGTTAGATCATAGCAAAATACGTCTGACTCTTTTTTTTTTGTCTGTACCCTTGCACACAGTTAGCAGTAACTAGGCTACGACAGGTGTCAATTTCAGCGAAACAGCACAAAAGAATGGTAATGAACTGAGATGGAGGGGACTCCCCAATAATATGTGAAATGAACGTTACCGAAGTGACGTGACATTCATGTAGTTGATGACAAATAACCACGTTTGTTACCATATTAATTCTTAAATTACTGCGTTAAAACGCTTCATTGAAATGATTTTTATGTCAATAATTGTTTTTTTCCCAATATTTTCTTATAACTAATTTACGTACATAACAAGTTTGAAATGTACGTTACCTACTCATATTCTGAGGCAATCGTGTCTTTATAGTGATGATTGTGTTGTAATGACATTTATTACATAAACAAGACAGTTAACAAATACACAAATATACAAAGATAACGAGCGCACACAGCAGCAAGTTATTATATATGTGAGGCGCACACAGCAGCCCCTGACCGCACACAGCAGGTCGAAATAGTTCACAAAAGTTACCAGTGGTTTCTTACACAGAATGGCGTCTTCTTCTACTGGCTACACACGAAAGCGTGACGTCATACGCACACATACACAAAAGGGGTACAACACGGGAATACATATAGGGGCTCGGCACAGGATACAAATTGTACTACATTCCCCCCTGTTCCAAAGAAATGATCCTATCCTGGACCTGAAATAAAAACAAATAATGCGGCAAGTCACCGCATTGCAAGAAATACACAATACATATACAACAGACATGAAGCAACATGAGTTAAATACGGTAAAGACATTTAAGGTTGTGAAGGGTTTGTGTCAGGACGTCAGACACTGTTGTCCTCTTAAGTTTCGCAACCCTCTCAGCCACTGGCAAAAGAGCCCATGGGGTGTTGACATCCATGCGGGAAGTGGGTGGCAAGTATGGAGCATCTGACTCCAGCAAAATCCTCTCCATGGGCATTGCACAGAGAGCGTCCGCGGTTTCAAACAATCCCAGAAGACTAGAAGTGAAACCAAATTTAACATTTGGTAAACGCTCCATCCATGCAATGGCTTCTTCTGGGCTCCCAATGTAGCAGTGTCTATGGATCCGCAAGTCTGTCAGACCCAACTCCTCCAAAAGAGCAAGGAATTCTCTGGCTGCGTACCCGGAATGGAGGTCTCGGCAGTGGACTACGAGTGTGAGGTCCATGTCCTTCGCCAAAGGAAGAATTTCTCTAAGAAATGCTCGTTGGCGGGCAATCGATTCCTTCTTGCAGCGCTTTAGGCTTTGGCATCTTGGACTGCAGCGGCAAGATGTTGTAAAGTCTAGACCGACCTCTCCTAAGCCGACACAACCTGGTTCCTTCAGAAGTTCGCGCAGCAGTTCCATCGAATAATCGCTCTTCACAGTGTGAGGGTGGAGCCCAAAAGTTAAGTAGATCCTTGGATCTCTAGCCTGCTGGCGGAATCGTTCCCAATGCTCTGGGAAGACGTAGTTGGCAATGGCCACACTAAGTCGGAAATCAGGGTCACCGAACTCATCTTCCAATGCAGAGAAATCCCTCAACCTAGTCCGAGAAAGCAGGATGTCTAGATGGAAGTGGGAATCCCCAAAATGTTGTTGTAGTAGGTCTGGCCTGCTAAGGGAAAGAACTGGTGCTAACAAGTTTCCAGAAAAAGTCAGCTCTTGCATGGTTGCAATAACATCCCTCTGCCCTGCAGGTAAAAGGAGCTGTAAGAGATTACATATGATTCTCCAGTGAACGAGTGAAGCCACAGATGTCGGTGGATGAATGGAAAAACATTGAGACCGGGCAAGACCATTAGCATCCTCATACAGGTTCAGCAACTCGACTTCGCCATCAGTAAAGTCTGACGCTGCAGGATTTATTGTCTCCACATACAAATGCTTCTCCACCACAAAACAGAGAAGGTTGTCCAGGGACCCCAGTCCAATATGATAACATATCCTGTGTAGCAAGCCATTCATGAGAGAAACCCAGCGACGTCTATTTGCCTCGTTAAACAAAGCACCCTCAGGATGGCCCTCAGCATTAATATGCTTTGCTCTAAGGAAACACTGCTTCCCTTCCTGGACTCCACATTTCCAGCATGCTGTCAAAGCTCCAAAGTACCATGGAAGGTGCGAGCGCAAGACATGGGGCTTTATAGCTGGTGTCCTAGCAGTGCACAGCGGACACTTCCGTCCGGACAATATCTTTGGTCTCTCTGGCACTTTCACTGAATCATCTTCCATGTCTTCTTCATAGTCTGGCACGAACAATGCTTCTTCCATATAGTCAGACATATTGCTGTACAAAAATAGAAACTACTAATCATTACATCATGAAATAATATACAAGTATTAGTACCTTATTGAGATAAATGAACTCAATAAGTTTGACTTATGCCTGCCTGGCACAATATAACCAAATAAAAAGAGCACAACTTGTAATTATACATAATCTTCCAGATGAGCAGGTTTTTTGATCTTTCTTCCTGCTCTGGTTGTATCTGTGGATCCTAAATCTGGATTCCTCTCAGTGTCATCAACAATATGCTGATTGTTTGTCTCTGTAAATTCATCTTGAATTGCCTCCATGTCATCAACAATGTCCTGCTCATTTGTCTCTATCACAGTATCATTTGCTTCACCTGAATCCTCCAGGCTGTTGTCTGTACCAATTAATTTGTTCTCCCCACTATCAGCATCAGGTGAGCTCTCATCCTCTTCAAAATACTTGTTTCTCAGCCGCCTAATCCACAATGGCAATTCCCTGTCATTACATCTCTTTAATTTGTCGTGATGAAGAGTGGACTGTCTCTCTTTCTGGTCTACAACAGTGTATAATGGTGGGTCAGTTGAAACGACAAGGTAAGGGCCCTTCCATGGTGACTGTAACTTGCGACTGTGTCCTACTGTTGTTGCCTCGTTTAGCCTGTAGACGACATCTTCTGTGTATGTCCTTTCATTTAGCTTCAAATCGTACAGGCGCTTCTGTCTCCTCTGCACGCTGTCGAGTTGCTTCCTCGCAAACGAGTGTGCTTCTATCATGACCTTGTCCAGATGCTTCACCCATTCATCTGGCTCATATTCAGTCAATGTAAGACTTGCCATTCCAGTCACAATATCAAGTGGCAAAATAACTTCGCGTCCAAGCATGAGTCTGTTGGGCGTATATCCTGTTGAACGGTTCTCGGTTGAATGAAGGGCCATTACTAGTAGAGGTAAGTCTACATCCCAAGTTCTTACTTTGCCCTCTATGTAGCAACGAATCATCTGAAGAAGGACCCTATTATAGCGTTCAACCTGTCCATTCGAAGATGGGTGGTAGGGTGTTGTCCTTGTCTTAGATATCTGTAAGGCATTACACAAAGCCTTAAACAGGTCCCCATCAAAATTTCGACCTTGATCTGTATGGACAGTGAGTGGACATCCAAATGTCACAATGAAGTGGAGGAGGAACTCTTTGGCTATTAGCTGAGCAGTTTGATTTGGAAGTGCGACACAATCAATCCACTTTGTAAATTGATCTATCATAACAAGGACATACACATTTCCTCGTTCGCTAGGTGTAAATGGGCCAAGAATGTCCAAATGAACACGCTCCATTGGGTACCCTGCATGATGTCGCTTAAGTGGGGCTTTGGGCTTGACTGACGACTTCTTATTTTTATTGCATACAGAGCACGATTGGACATATTCTCTGCAGTCTTGGGACATACGATACCACATGTACTGATGTTTGACTCGCTGCAATGTCTTATCCTGGCCTACATGCGCTGCTGACTTCATATCATGGCAACCCTTAAGGACTTCTTCTTGCATGGTTTTTGGAACCAGTAGACATAGCTTCCGGTTTGCTTCATCTCGCCAGGCATAGAAAAGTATCCCGTCCTTTATGAGCAACTGACTCTTGCACATCCAGTATGACCTCGAGGCTGGGCTACTCAGAAGCAAGTCGTGTGATGTAGGGGGTTGTTCTAGCCACTGGAACAATACTGATAAATCTGCATCTTCATGTTGTAGTTTTGATACCTCTTCCTTTGTTCTGGTTTCTGTCCAATTTACTTCAAAGGAAAGATCATCTGTTAGCACATCAGTGTTGTACTCTACTCTCAACACTTCTGCAGTTTGTCCTGGCTCAGGGTTAATGACCTTGACAGCTAGCGGTACTACGTTATCTACATCCTCTGAGAATCTCTCCCACTGTTGACAGGCTCTGGCACAGTAGTTGCAACCTCCACAAGGCAGTGATTCCAAGTTGGAACCTGCATTATAACAATCGCAAGCCTCCAATCTATCAGGAATACGTGATAAGCCATCTGCATTGGAATGCTTGTTCCCATTACGATGAACAATTTGCATATCAAACTGTGAGAGTTCCTCTATCCAGCGAGATAACTGCCCCTCGATGTGTCGAAACCTAAACAACCAAACTAAACTGTTATGGTCAGTTCGTATCGTGAAGCGTCGTCCCAAAAGATAATGACGAAAATGACGACAGAACTTCACAACTGCCAGTAACTCCTTGCGAGTTGTGCAATATTTCCTTTGTACTGGTAACAGAACATGACTGGCATAGGCTATAGTCCGTTCCTTTCCATCTTGCAACTGTATAAGTTCAGCTCCTATTGTTGCGTCAGATGCATCAGTGTCTAAAATAAAGTCATCAGTAGGAGTTGGGTAAGCGAGACAGGGTGCTGAGGATAGTGCTGTCTTCAAGTGTTCAAATGCCTCTTGGTGCTCAGTGGTCCAGTTAAATTGCTTTGCCTTTGAACCTGTTAGCTCATACAGACACTTTGAAATCCCAGCATATCCTTGTACATGTTCTCGATGGTAGTTAGCATAGCCAAGGAATGATTCAACTTCTTTCTTATCCGTAGGGACAGGCCAGGACCGTACAGCATCCAATTTGGCTGGGGAAATCCTTACACCTTCTCGAGTAATTCGCTTCCCTAAGAACTCACATTCTGTCTGGAATAAGAAGCACTTTCTTGGCTTGAGCTTCAAGTTATATCTGCTAAACCTCTCTAGGACTACATTGAGATTGTTCAAATGTTCTTCAAAGGACTTGCCGAGAACATTAACATCATCTAAGTATGCAATGACATCCTTCCATGTAAGGCCACGCAACACAAGCTGTATAACTCGCTGGAAGGTGGCAGGAGCATTGCACAGTCCGAACCCCATTCTCACATGCTCAAACAGCCCAAATCTAGTGATAAATGCTGTCTTTTTCTGATCTGCTGGATCAATTTCTACTTGATAGTACCCTGACTCCATATCTAAAGTGCTAAAGTAGATCGAGCCGGACAATGTTGAGAGGCAATCTTCTATGTTAGGAAGGGGATAAGAGTCCTTGACTGTTTTTTGGTTTAACTGGCGATAATCGATGCACCATCTGACCGATCCATCCTTCTTACGAACTAACACAGGAGCAGATGACCATTCAGAAGTTGAAGGCTGTATAACTTTGGCATCCAACATTTTCTGCAAGTGTGTCTCTTCTTCTCCTTCAAACCCAAAGGGAGTTCTACGCATCTTTTGTCGCACTGGGGAAGAAGTTCCGGTGTTAATCTGATGTTTAATCTCCGAAAAACATCCCAAATCTAAGTCATGTTTTGCAAACACTTCACTATACTTAATCAGCAGTGCCTTGACTTTGTCAGCCTCATCAGCATTCAGGTTCTTGCAAGTTCTAACAAACAATTCACGCAAGTGCTCAGGCAGACCCAGATCCTCTGCTGGGGCTGGTTGGCTAACTGGTTGAGCACACTTTATGTTACATTGTTCTACACCTCGTAATTCCTCGCTGAAGTCCATTGCATTGCCTATGTGCTTCCCGGCCTTTATAACAATTGTACCATTTGTCGGGTTCATAATGTTGACTCTAGCTGATTTCCCGGAATCAACTATGGTTGCTGCCATGACAAACTTTCTATTGGTCTTCAAAGGTTCAAGGACTAAATGCCTATCATCATTAATGTTGGGTCCATCAATAACAACATTTGTACAGGAAACTGTATTTGGAGGGATGACTGTCCTTCCTTGCATGAAAACTTTCCTTATGTCAACATCTGTGCCACTTTCAGTTCTCTTGACTATCCCGGTAATGGTATTGTTGCCTATTTGCAATATGTTATCCCTCAAGTCTACAATGCTGTTGTATTTTACTAAGAAATCCAAGCCAAGTAAAATACTATCTGTTATGTCTGCGGCATAGAGATCTGCAAGGTAGGTCCTACCTATGCAAATTGGTACGCTTTTAATTAAATACCCAGGTATCCTTTCATCAGGTACCACACCCCTTAGGTATATGAACTGCTTGTCGTCAATCATCAGTCCCAATTCTCTTGCGAGTTGAAGACTCATTACAGATACTTGAGCAGCAGTATCTATTACAGCAGAGACTTTCTTTGAATGTATATGGATAGGGATCACCAGGCTAGCTACATTTACTTGTTTTACTAATATTTCCTTAACATCCCTGTCAGTAGATGAATTCAGTTCATGACCGAGCTCATCCAATGACAAGAGTGATACATCTGGTGTTTCTTCCAGCTCTTCATGACATGTTTCATAATTTTCATCCAGACTCTCATTCATCGGTAATGTCTGGCCATCATCTATTGGCTGGACTGAGTGTTGGCCGATCCGCCCAGTCCTCTGAAGTTTAAATCCTTTTTATCTGGGCTAGGGCTCCTCCCCTTGTCTCTAGCCTGAGGGCAATCCCTTTGCAAATGACCATAACCCTTACAGAGGTAACAGCGACGGCGTTGTGGACTTGATGGGGGTGTCGGTGACCTTGACCTTGGCTGGTCCTTCCGTTCCATAAGTCCTATGAGCTTGGAGATCAGGCCTTCCAGTTTTTCTGAAGAGTCTCGCCTTGAGTCATGAAGAGTGCGGATACATGCCTCGTCTGTAGCTGGCTCAACACAGTCGTCTTGGAAACTTAGACGACGAGTACTGTAATTAGCTCGTGAACCGAACAGTGCCTTGCAATTATTTACAGCTGCTTTGACATACTTCAAGGCCTTGTAAATACTCTTTGGGTTCTTTTCCATAGCAAGGTGAGCAGCCTCCTTATCCTTGCATCCCCTTAGGAAAGCTTCTACCGCCATTTGATCAACAGTGCTGTCGTTTGCTTCTGGAAGTCCATCCATGGTTAGAAAATGGACTCTTTGAGAAAACTCCTCAAAAGTTTCATCTTCCTTCTGTCGCACAAATTGTAACTGTCGTCTCGCAGATATGGGTGCCTCCTTTGTACTGAATCGCCTTGACATCTTCTTTAAGAGATCCTGATAGCTACAATGTGTAAGTTCACGCGCAAAATCTAACGCCTTATCCTGCAGACAGTCAAGTAGCCTTCCTTTTGCTTTTCGCTCA